AAGAACTATGGATGGAGGCTCGCAACATTGTACAAGAGGTAGCAACTAAAACCATTCCAAAGAAATAGAAATGCAAGAAAGCAAAAATAAAATGCAAGAAAGCAAAATTCTGAATGCAGAATTCCAGAGAATAGCTAGAAGAGATAAGAATGCCTTCTTAAATGAACAGTGTGAAGAAATAGAAGAAAACAATAGAATAGGGAGGACAGCGATCTCTTCAAAAAATTGGAGATAGGAAGGGAACATTTCATGAGCCAGACATCCTGGAATGTGACGTCAAAAGGGCATTAGGATGTTTTAGCAACAACAAACCTAGTGGAGGAGACAGTATTCCAGCTGAGCTGTTCAAACTCCTAAAAGATGACACAGTTAAAGTGCTACACTCAATATGCCAGCAAATTTGGAAAACACAACAGTGGCCACAAGATTGGAAAAGGTCAGTTTACATTCTGATCCTAAAGAAGGGCAATGCCAAAAATTGTTCAAACTACCACACCATTGCACTCATTTCACATGCTAGCAAAGTTATTCTCAAAATCCTACAAGTTAGGCTCCAGCAGTATGTGGACCAAGAACTACCAGAAGTACAGGCAGAGTTTTGAAGAGGCAGAGGAACTAGAGATCAAATTGCCAACATACACTGGATCATGGAGAAAGCTAGGGAGTTCCAGAAAAACATCTACTTCTGCTTCACTGACTATGCTAAAGCCTTTGATTGTGTGGATCACAATAAATTGTGGCATGTTCTTAAAGAGATGGGAGTCCCAGAACATCTTATTTGTCTCTTGAGAAACCTGTATGTGGGCCAAGAAGCAACAGTGAGAACTGGACATGGAGCTACTGCTTGGTTCAAAATTGGGAAAGGAGTATGGCAAGGCTGTATATTTAACTTATATGCAGAGCACATCATGCGAAAGGCCAGGCTAGATGAATCACAAATTGGAATTAAGATTGCTGGGAGAAATATCAACAACCTCAGATATGCAGATGATACCACTCTAATGGCAGAAAGTGAAGAGACTAAAAAGCCTCTTGATGTGGGTGAAAGAGAAGAGCAGAAAAGTTGGCTTGAAACTCAACATTAAGAAAACTAAGAACATGGCATCCAGTCCTATCTCTTCCTGGCAAATAGATGGGAAAGAAATCACAGTAGTGACAGATTTTATTTTCCTGGGATCCAAGATCACTGCAGACAGTAACTGCAGCCAAGAAATTAAAAGATGCTTGCTCCTTGGGAGGAAAGCTATGGCAAATCTGGACTGCATACTAAAAAGCAGAGGTATCACCCTACCGACAAAAGTGCGTATAGTCAAGGCTATGGTTTTCCCATTTGTAATGTATGGCTGTGAAAGTTGGACCATAAGGAAGACTGAGCGCCGAAGAATTGAGGCCTTTGAATTGTGGTGCTGGAGAAGACTCCTGCGAGTCCCTTGGACTGCAAGGCGATCAAACCAGTCAGTCCTAGAGGAGACCAACCCTGACTGCTCTTTAGAAGGCCAGATCCTGAAGATGAAACTCAAATACTTCGGCCACCTAATGAGAAGGAAGGACTCACTGGAGAAGAGCCTAATGCTGGGAAGGATGGACTGCAAAAGAAGAAGAGGACAGCAGAGAATGAGGTGGCTGGATGGAGTCACGGAAGCAGTTGGTGTGAGCTTAGGTGGACTCTGGGGGATAGAGAAGGTCAGGAGAGCCTGGAGGAATGCTTTCCATGGGGTCACAATGGGTCAGGCATGACTTCGCGACTAACATAACACAACGTAACTACTGAATAGAGAGGTATAGGAATGGTTGGTAAGCACAAGTTGATTTGTTTTTTGTTTTTGCATTTTGCTTTTGTTTTTATTCCATAACTATCATACCAGAACAAGATAGTCTTAACAAAAGTTGGCATCTGGTGACCCTTAAGATATTTTGGCCTACAATTCCCATCGGCCTTTGTCACATTGCTGGTGGTAGGGCTGTAGGCCAAACCATCATGTAGGCCACAAGTTGCCTGTCCCTGTTTAGGAAGCTAGTCCATTCTAAGAGTTAAATGTGCATTATATAAATGTAGGCAGGTGCTGTAAAATAATATTTGGGGCAATATTACAGTGTACATTTAAATAGGATAGCTAAAATCCCAGTAAAAACACAGCATGGTGACGAAAAGTGGGAACTGTGCAAGAAATTAAACAGAAGGGAGCTGGAAGACAAAGGAACAGCAGCTAGTTAATTCCATTGTCCTCTGTGATTCAATACTGCTGATATTTATGAGATTTAAACATTACATTTCAGGGTATGATATACAAAGTCATTTTTGTCACCATAAAATCAGCATGGGCTATGAAGCAGTGCTTCCACCTAAATGGTGTTATTCTGCTCAATCTGGTAGGACAGATGAATGACAAAATAAGAGCTAAGAGGACATTCTTCAGATGCACTCCAATCTATTACTAGCTGGAAAAGAGTGAGGAAGGAGCCTGAAAGAACGACAGCTTGCTAGTTTTTCCCAGTCCAGGCAAAGAAGGAAATGGTAGTGTGCAAAAACAGGAGGAGGAGATAGCTAGTCACAGAGTCAGCACACTGGGAGAAAAAGTCTGAAAAGTTCAGCCTGCATTCCTTTTGCTTAAGTCTGACAGCTTTGGTTTACAGGCAAGCTCAGGAAGTTTTCTCTGAGATCTCATTTTATTGGACATCCTAAGTCAGTGGTGGCGAACCTATGGCATGCGTGCAACAGCAGGCACACAGAGCCCCAGCATCGCCCCAGCAGCCAAGCATCAGATAATAGCACACATAGGGGCCATGTGCATACTCGGAAAGGAGTAGTGGCGCCAGGCGATGACATCACAAGCCGCAACTCATTGGACGTGACTCACCCGAGCTTTCAATGGCCGGTCAGTGCGCTGACAAGATATAGATATATTTGCTGGGACAGGCTGTAAGCTATTTTTTCCAAACTAAAACCTCAGTTTTCAGGTTTTATTGCAGTGTTGGCACTTTGTGATGAATAAGTGCATTTTGGGTTGCAGTTTGGGCACTCAGTCTCTAAAAGGTTCACCATCACTAGGGGTTAGGGTTAGAAAAACAAGGTCTCCTGGCATGAACTTGATGGTTGGAATGTGTTTAGAAGGGGCAGAAATGTTGAGCTGTGCTGACAAAGCTACTCAAGGAATGCTTTTTCAAAATCACCCACTTTTCAGTGGAACTTTCGCCATATATTAAGGTTAGGGGTGTGCACCAGGGTAGGGTTAGGGTTAGCAAAATGAGGTGTCCTGGCATGATTTTGATGGTTGGAATGTGTTTAGAATGGGTAGAAATGATGAGCTGTGCCAACAAAGCTTCTCAAGGAAGGCTTTTTCAAAATCACCCACTTTTCAGTGGAACTTTTAAGTTCAGAGCATTCATTTGGCCTCTTTCTGAACCAAACACTGACACCCATACACAAGCCCAACACAGTTGTTTGCTTGCATCATGTGTCAGGGGAAGGACATTGTCATGTATGCACATTCTGGTGAGGTTCCCAGGTGTGCACAAGAAGCCAATCGTTTTGGCAGGACTGGCAGTTCAAGTCTGAGGATAATGGGGACTTGGCTGACCTAGGCAGGGCTGAGAGCTCAAACTCTGATAACAAAATAGTTGCTGTAATGGACACGGCGCCAGCTGCAGCCCTCGTTTCTCAGTACCTGTCTGTGTCTGCTTGAGACGAGATTACTTCAAGGACAACCATGGGGCCCAGTCTACCAGCCCATGGGAATGAAAAAGAACAACAACAACAACATCCTGAGGGAGGGGATTTGGAGATGGGGAGTCTCTTGGATGGAGAACTCCAGCCTCCTGAGGAGGTGGACCTGAAAGTCTGTTGTCACAGCCACAGGGTGGCCCAATTGAGGGCTCAGAGTGAAGAATGTAAGCGTGCCTGTTTTCACAGCACTCTTCCTTCCTGAGACAGGCCCAGATGGGTTCATAAGCAAAGCTCTGGGTAAAGGGGGGCAGAGAGGGTTAAACATTTTGCTTTGTGTATGCTCAGAGACTGCCATGTAGAATAAAGGCACAAGAAGTGCTGGAGAGTCTGCCTTGCTTGGGGAGGGAACACCTAGCTCACAGCAGACGTGAGCAGTGCACTCGGCCCTCCCTCAAGCCTCCTCCATGCCTGGCTAGCTCAGAGACATTTGCATGTTGAGCACAAGGGTCTGTCAAAGGGCTTGTTAAGTGGGAGCCACTGAATGGTGGGCCGCAGTTCCTACTGCAGGAAGCCTGCCTTATCAGGACGTTCTCCCATTACAAGGGAAAATCTGATTTCCACTAGGCAGGTCAAAATGGCTAGGCCTGACGGCACCTCTCAACCATGCTAGTGTTCTTTGTGGGGAGCCTCCTTTTTGTTTCTTTCCACAATGAAGAACATTTAATGGTGTTGGACCTCCACCTGTGGTGAAGAGGGATACAGCCCAGACAAAGCTTTACCACTGCAGTCAGAACTAGGCCTTTGTTGGTTACTTCAGCAATTGGCTGCCTTTTAAATAATGCTTTATGGAAAAGTGTCACATAGTTATTTAAGAAACCAAGAGGCCTGTTGCTGTAGTTCTGGGGTTTGTTTGTGAGGGAAGGCTTGCAGCAAGAGCTGTATTTTTTGAACATGAGTACACCTTAGCAAATTGGGAGTGTTTTCTTCTGTAGAAACAAGCACAAGACAGTGTAGTCATCAGCTAAATAGAAATAAATTGCCTTGAGGTGTAGTTTGACTCCAAAGTATTTGTTTCTATGAAAGGACAAATGTGAATGCAGCTAAAATGCTGATCTTACATTATCAAAACAGAAACCAATCTAGCAATGCAGATCCAGGCATAAATAGGAGTCCTGCCACATAGGACCCTCCATGCATGGTTTTCACATTCTTTGATCCAGTCAGCCCTTCAGTCAGAGGATACCTTCAGACTGGCAGCTCTTCAAATGGAGGATCCTTCTCTGTAAAGCAGGACATATTGCCTTTTACATAAGATATTAATAGCATTACTTCTCACCCCCAACATTTGGCATTCTTGAAGAATCTTGAGGACTGCTGGATTTGTTGCGATTCTGGTTTTTCTTTTTAGTATTAGCAGCTCGAACAGATCGAAAAAGCACTTCGCTTGCTTTGAAGAATGCAACCATGAATGGCTGTTTTGACTGAGGGCCGTGCCTTCCTATAAGGCCGGCTGATTTCACACTGATACTGCGACCTGCAGAATAAGTACACATAAGAAAAATTCGCACAGTTAAAATCAGTTAAACCTATGGGTGAAGTTACAATGTTAAAAAAGATTAATTTTGTGGAACATAATGTGAAAGGCAGTAGTTATTTTGACAAACTCTATAGCACTAGAAGAAAAAATATATATCTAGAATTTACCTCGTGATGGCAAAGGAATTAATATTTTCAAAAGCCACTTATGTTTTAAAAATTAGTATGGTAAACTGGGAATTCTGAATATCCAACCAAAGAAGAATGAGAAATTGAGGCAATGTATATATTTATGTGTCAAGTTATAAATAATTTCAAGGCATTACTCAACTTTCACCAGAAAGCTTAAGAACAGGTACAGCCAAAGCTTCATTCTTTCAAGGAATAATATATAATAGAAGTTAAATATGTACATGATTGACACTGGTTCAATTCCTGAGGGATGTACATATTTCTTTTTATTATTTGTTCAGTCAAGACTGAGTAGTAACTTCATTAGATTATAGGTTCTGACCCTCCAGGACAGTGCTGGTGTGGGGGGCAGGTTATCAGCAGAACAGCTTGGAGAAAGTAAAATATTAAAAAAAGAGTAACTGAAGTGCATCTCTATGAATCCTTAATAAATAAGCCCTTCAGCTCCTCACATAATTTATTTTGGCAGCTGAAATACTTCGGTGTCTCCACATCTTACGCAGAACCTTTCATTCCACCAGAAACCCAGACAGTGTCGTGTGAAGCTATGCAGCTGTACCGGGGAATGCACACCAAGCTCTGTGAAACAGCAAATGGTTGGTAAAGAAATGTGAAATGGGCTCATCTGAGCAAAGTAAAGGCAGCAAAGTTCCTTGAGTCTATTGTTCTATAGCCAGCCTATTGAATCCATTGTTTTATGGTATCCTCTATAGAAGGGAGGAACTGGTTAAAACTCTAGGACAGAAAAAAAAAGCATCTGCCTTGCAAAGGTATCATGCCATTAAACTCAATCTGCTTCAGAAAGAACTTACTAATAATCATAGGAGTAAGCCTTAAACAAATAAGCATATAGGCTTCCCTTTTAAAGGCAAACTTACAGTGGCTTTCTGCCAGGGTCTATATTTCTTAGAAAAACTTCTATCATTGGCGTAAATGAAAGAGGCAGTTTGATTTGTGGTTAAAGTAGTTTCCATTCTACTTCCACTGTAACAAATGTATTAATTCAGCTCAGACTTCCTCCTTCTGGCAGCCTTTTTGCAGTAAAAAAAGAGAAATTAGAAGTCGCAGCCAAATACCGTACCTTGAACTGACCCACTTCAATACATAAACACTTTTACAACATGTTTATTCAGGTGTAGCACTTTAAATTGGTTTAAGATGTTTCCAGTGACAGAGAACCCAGCAAAGGCAGAAAAAAGAAGAACCAAAAAAGTTAAGCAGCTCAGGAGCAGAATAAGTGGTCACATATTCTGAAATCTTTATATCATTGCTGCGCCTTTGAAGGGTGTGGTCTGAAAAGGAGGGAAGATACATGACAGATAGATCAATCAATTGACAGACATAGATGCATAGATAGCTACTTGTGGCAATTTCAAATTGCAGTTCACACACACACACACAAAACCAAAACCTGCTTTTGTTCCATGGGTTGGAACAAGATATGGTGCAATTAATTTCTGAATGTGAAAGACTACTCAGGTTCAGATCACCCTCATTTTCTAGGACTGAGGAGCATTTTCTAGAAACATCTGAGGACCAGGAGTTGAGGGGGAGGAAAGAATTTGTTGCAATGCTTCCAATAGGAGGGAAAATGGCTATCGAATTTTCCTGCATTCCAGGAGGGTGTCTAGGGAATGAGCCTACCTTGATCCACATACACCTGGAATGGCCACTTGCACACTGACCCCTAGTGGAGCAGTAATGACAGAGCAGGCATAACGGTGGCGATATTTGCCAGTGGTCAAAGGAGGAGTTCACCAGCAGACCTCTCTTTCTACTTGCATGGCATCCTATCTATGGCATCCTATCCTATCCTGGGAACCTCTTCTGTGTACTATAGGATTACAACCTCATTCACTCATTTATTTATTTATAAAACAATCTTTCAAATTACTGGTGTACATTTTCAGAAATTTATAAGATGTATTTTAGAGGTGTAAAAAGTTCACTGAATTTACAAAGGTGCATTTTGTGTGTGAAGAAAAGGAGTATTTGAGCCGATGTGAACTCCCTTTAAAATAATGTTTAATATTATTAAGTTTCCTCTTGGTTTCATTCAGACTTCAGCAATGGGATTACTATTAAGATCCCACAAGCTACAGTTTACTCAAGTTCTCCAGATATACAGAGATACTCTTAAAAATTAGTCTAAGCCCAAACGCCCTTTAAACACAGAAGCAGTTTATGTGGTTCTCTATCTTCTGTTTACTTGATCTTTTGAACAGCCAAGTTAAGCTTTTGGGAACAGATACTTTTTTTCACCTTTCACTTTTTTCACCTTTCACTTATTCATTTAAAATTATGACCCAGTGCTTTGGTTGAAAAAAACCATTCATATTTGAAAAGATTTACTTGGAAGTCAATCCCCACAACTACTGTTGAATTTACTTTCAAATAAGTGATTTAGGATTACATGAGTTGATAAATTAACTTTGTAGCAAAAAGCATGTCACAAGCATCAAAGCACTTAATTCAGAATTGCCTCATTGATCTCAAAACTACTCCAAAATTAGTGGGTTCATAACTGAAACCTTCCCTTATTTATTATGGCCATTTTCCAAAGAACCATGCAACTAGTTCCATGCACCCAAGAGATATTTAGGCTTGCCTTTTCCAAATAGTAGTCTCTCTTACATGCCATTCTTTGAACCCAAGGGTCTTTCAGATGCAGTTTGTAGAAATTTTTCAAAGGAAAAATTTAGAAACCCCACAGAGCACAACCAAGCATTTCAGACCTCAGTTAGCATAATGCAACAGTTGCAATGTTGATTAATTGTTTTAATAATATTCACCTTGTTCAAATTAAAATAATTTACAAAACATAGATCCGGGAAAGCTAAATGGAAATAGGAGGCGGAACGCAATGGCCTAGTGCGTGTTTCTGTGTTAAGATGGTACACAATTCACTTGTACTGCTCTGTTTGCACAGTGAAGCCATACAGTTCATAACTAAGCCAATTTGCAAAAACAATACTATTTCTGCTAAGAAACTAACATCAAGCTTCCAGGAGTCTGAATGTTGAAGTTAATTTGCTCTGGTCATATGAGTGTTGTTTGACAGTGGCAGATGATAACAGACTGCATCTAAGAACTTTTACTGTGCGATCATAAACATGTCTACTCAGAATCACATCCCACTGGGTTGAATGAGATAAATTCCCAGGTAAGGGGCTATAGCAGGGGTGGCCAGACTGAGTCTCGGGAGCCACATGTGGCTCTTGGACTTATTTTGCAGCTCACCACTCACTGCTGCAGCTCACCCACGGGCAGTGGGGGACTTGCCACTGTCTGTCCCCCACTGCCACTGCCTGCACGTGCCTGTTTGTGACTCTCAAACAGCTGACATTTACTGTCTGTGGCTCTCCTGTTGAGCAAGCCTGGCCGCCCCTGGGCTATAGGAATGCTTTAATGATCTGGCTTCTGCATTAATAGTTATCTTGTGTGAATTTTTGCCTTAAAATATGAAGCCTGAAGAACATGGTGGTCACAGTTACTCTGTATATACTAAACAGCATAGCTCTCGCTGATGGGGATACAGTCACACAATTAGTCTTCCATTACCAGATTACACATGCTTGCCAAAATGAGGGACTGTACTGCCAGAGATCATACTGCACTGATTCAGAGTACACATTGCATTTACTCATAATCCTTAGTCTGAGCACAAGGTGGACGTTATAACCCTGGAGCCCTTTCCCTGTTTAGCCTCCTTACAGGCTTCGTTGTTGCTCTAGCAGTGACTGCTGCTGCTACTGTCCTCCTCTTCCACACCAGGTACCTGCCAAACCAGTTCTGGCCCCAGAGACACAGATGTTAGTCACATCCCGTTTGGGCACCTTAAGCTGCCTTTGAATGATGTTTGGAAACTTTTGCTGGTCCAGAATGTTGCAGTCACGCTACTGATTAAAGCCAGTTGACGGCAGCACATGGCTCCCAGGTTACAAGAGCTGTTTGTGGGCACAGTTCACTTAATACTGGCTATGACCTATAAAGCTGTACAAGGCATGACAGCTTGGAAAATCAGACTGTTCCATATGCACCTGCCCAGGTTTTAAGATTTTTGGGAGATGCCCTTCCCTCTCTTCGCACACCATCAGGGTTGTATTAGTGGGAATGCAAGAAAAGGCCTTTGCAGGGCTATTCTTGGGCTTCAAAATCTCCTGGCAAGGAAGACCAGGCCACCTGTCTCCCTGCAGGCCTGCTGCCAGGTGACAAAGACAATTTTATTCAGACAGACTTTGGACTTTTAAGCTGATTTGTTGCTTGAAAAAGGTCTTAAATGACTTTATACTTGAAGTATAATGTTGTATTTCATCTCGTATTTTATTGTTGTTGGACATCTTGAACTGTTTTTGTTAAGGGCAGGCGAGACTGACTTTTAATGATTAATAACTTTATTCCAGAACCCTTGGGAAATATAGTACATGCTCAAATGTATTCCTGGAATACTGTTGCAGTGGGGATTTGTCTTCTAACACAAATATATAAACAAAATTTTTATTGTATAGCTTCATTTATTTACTGTCTCCTTGCTCACTTATTCTAGTGCTGGATGAAGACTGTCCTCTCACTTTTACAGCCCCATCTGTGAGCCATAAAACAGTAGACAGTCAAAGGATCCAGTGAGGGTTGTTGTCTTTCCCTCTCAATCATGGGTGTACAATGACACTATCATTATTGCATAGCATTATTCTAACTGAAGCATGTGGTGAAACATGGCAGTATAGCTTCTCTGCACAACTCAGAGCAGCAACATTGAATTAAATAATATTTTAAAGACACTCATATCTCTGGCTTTGCTGGTAA